CCCTTTTGTCTCAGCTGCTCTCGCCTTCTAGCAGCTCTGCGCACACGCACACTGGGAACAGGCTCCCCTGGGTCCTCTTCCTCGCAGCTGCCAGACTCCGGAAGCTCCGGAGGCAGCACCCGACTCCCAGATGGTCCTGGGCCCATCCCCATGCAGGACCCTCATCCGAGTCCTCTCCAAACTCTCGGACTGGTCCCCGTTCTTCCCCACTGTCCGATTCTGCTCCCATCTGCACAGGCTGCGAACCACAACAAAACGGTACTTTTCCAAAAGGCACCTGGACTTTTGTTTTTTCCTTGAAGATCATTTGGGTGATCCTGAAGGCACAGATAAACCTCCAAGTGGCCTCCACAACTCTCAGAGGAAGGGACGTGCCGTGCAAATGTGACAAGCGTGTTGGTGCCTTTTTTTGTTCTTGTTTTGGAAAAAGGCTGTTTTTGAATGCATTTCCTTCTTTCTAGGCCCAATTCCGTCTTGAGGCTCCGGTTTAATCACTTTGCAACCGAATGCAGCTGGGATCACCTCTACGTGTACGATGGAGACTCCATCTACGCTCCGTTACTGGCTGCTTTTAGGTAAGATCCGGTGGGTTGGGGGGAGAAAAAAAACGTGAGAATTCGTATCGTGCACTTGGAAGGTCAGCGTTTCCTTTAGGGCAAGGGGTCCTCCGACCTTTGCAACTTGAAGACTAGAGGACTTCCAACTCCCAGATTTCCTCAGCCAATGCTGGCTGGGGAATTCTGGGAGTTGGAAGTCCACAAGTCTTCAAGTTACGAAGAGAGGAAAAACTATTTCAAAATAAAAAAGAAATGAGTTCAGAAAGGAATCGAAAAGACACCAAATAAATGTGAAGAATATAAGAATACCCGAGAAAATTTGTAGAAGATATGGAACGGAATGATATTGATATGAAAGCAAATGGGAAAGATGAATATGCAACCGAGGTCATGTTTGTACGGAAATGTGCAAAACCTGGAACCGTGCTGTTCACCGAAAGAAATGTTTTTGAGATATAAAAATATAAAAAACTTTTTACACCCCCCCCCCCCAAAAAGTCTTAAAGTTGCAAAGGTTGGAGACCCCTGCTTGACGGCATTTAAGGAAGCGGATGTTTCCTGATGCATTTTTAAGAAGTTTCCCGCTTTGTGTCCATCGGAGTAAGCTGTCGCAGGGCCCTTTTCATCTTCAAATGCTCTTCGGAGGTTTTATCCCACTTGGAGACCTTAGCGTTGCCATGGGAACCAGGTGGGGTGAGGGAGGCTGAGAAAGAACGGGGAGGGGTGAGCTGGGTTTATTGTATTGTTATCTGTCGTGGTTGTTGTTTTTAATTTGGTTTGTATTTCTGTACTTTTCATCCTCCCCGAGGGAACCCCCCCCCCAGGGATCTACGGGAAAACATAATACCCGGAGAGAAAAGGGCTTGAAAATGAAAGCATCCCAATAAGAGCCCTGGGGCCCCAAAAGCAAAGCAAAGGCAAAGCAAAAAATAAAAATAAAATAAATCAGAGGTGCAAAAGGCAGCATTAAAAAAAAAAAAAAGAATCTGAGTTTTGTTCTCCTACAAATGTAAACCGAATGTGCACTCCGTTAGGATAGATCTAATAAGCCACAAGAAGGTCGGCTGAGTATGCTTAAGCTTAATTTGGCATGAAGAAAAGACAACCTAAAGAAATTAGAAAAGACAAGGAAAAGGAAACGAGAGAGAGAGGGAGGGAGGGAGGGAGGGAGGGAAGGAGGGAAGGAGGAAGGAAAGGAGAGGAAAAGGAAGGAAGGAAGGAAGGAAGGCAAAAGGGAAGGGAGAGAGGAAGGAGGAGAAAAAGGAAGGAAGGAAGGGAAGGAAGAAAGGCAAAGGGAGAGGAAGGGAGGGAGGGATTGA